GTGAATGTGTAGCTGATCAAACGACTCTGCTTAGGAGAGATAACCAAACCAAAAGGCTGAAATAGACGTCAGGCTTTAAACAATAGGATGAGTAAGGCTGGAGGAGGTGAATATAAATTGAAATTGCGATAGTTTGTTGTGGCAGAAAAGAAAATGGTGTTGTTGACAACATACAACATCTACAGTGAAGTATGTTGTGGGGGTCAATACAAATGTATGCTGCATCCTGGTCAGTACTATAAGAGGTCTACACAAAATTGATGGCACCATGACTGCTGACAGACACAAGCAGACAGATTCTTATTCGTTAATTCAATCCCTCAGGAAAAAACCTGTTTGGCAGAGATTTATTTTCCAGCAACAAAGTAATCTCAAGCATTCAGAAAATGTGATGGATTGATGCCTGTAAGATAAAAGGGACTCTGAAATACTGACAACCATATTCTGGCACACACAAAGTTCTGACATGAAAGTTATTAAGACTGTATGGACTTGTACGTAAAATGAGAATTTCAAACAGCAACCCATCTTCTTGGATGAATATTAGTATATTTTACAACTGACTTGTTTTATTTTGTATTTTCTGTATTAATCTATTGTACTAATGATAAATTGACCATTTAGTTGTAATGATTTATTTCTTGTGACTTCAGTATGTTTGGCAATTATTTCCAATACTATATATGTATATAATGTCTATATACAAATTCATACAATTAAGTTCAAATCAAAATGCAACGCGGGAAAGGTAAAATTTACTGTAATAACAGAAGTATTTTCAACAGCAAGTTCTATACACCAGTGTGGATACACCATTTTTATCATATTTAACCTTTCTTCGTGGGAGATGAAGGTAGAACTAAGGCGGTGTTGCTGAGTTATGCCGCTCTGTTTCTTTTAGACTTTAAGACCCACAATTGAGGTGTTATTTGTACATATACGCATGTTTTTACCATCTCATAGTTTAAATACTACAGGTGTCCTGTAAGTTCAAACACAAATAATATGTAGCCAAAAGTTCAAAACATTAGACAACTCATGACTAGATGAAATTGGTAGAATAAATATACCCGAAAGTTCATAATAACCTTTCTAGAGCAACGGTTTTCATTAACTAAAGTAGTCTATATTATACTATACATTTCAGTTTCTTATCTACAAAATACACAATCAACAGTCTGGAGGAACGAAGCGTGTCTAACATATAAATAGGATAATAACTTCTCTTCTAGGATATTTTGATACCCTATGTTATATGTCATGTAAGAAGACGTTTAAGTTATATTTTAAGTGACTGCTTCATGTATTATTGCTGTGCGGAACACGATTTGTGGATTATAAATGACCAGATTTTCAGACCAGCACTAGCCCTTACACAATTTCTTTGATGTTATGTTATAAATATAAATATTTCATTTACAAAATACGCCATGAATAGTTATATCTAGTCAGGTGAAACGTCTAACAAATTACCATATAAAAACTGTTACAAGCTCTCTTACAATATATCTTGACATCCCGCCTTAAAAAACTATTTATGGCTCTAAAAATTAAATATTAGATTTTGAGGATGGCCATTTAATGTAAAGTATTACTGTTGTGCAGAGCACGTGCATGGGTTGTAATCTACACACGAAACGTATCAGCGATAAGATCATCCCTCAGGAAAAGATGGCCACACATGCGCAGGAAAACATTATTGAACTGATGAAGTCCCTTTTCAAATACTAAAGGAAGATTCCACTGTACAAATCAAACTTTAATTGATGCTCTACCGACGTCTTTAGCTTGGTTTCAACTAAGCCTAATAATACCCTAACTTAATACGCTGTGTCCCATAAAATATCACATTTGTCTTCTTTTTTCTTCTTCTTCTTTTGTTCGTATAAGCAGGATTCTCGATTTTAAAAACACGTGCCCCTGGGTCTGTTAATTTTATTCACACAAGAGCTTAATAGACGTCTTAAGAAGTTTATCCATCGAAGGTTAAAACGAATATCGGTAACAGTAAGGCAGTAATGCAATTTGAGATTTAATTTAAGCGGGGAGAGGGATTGTTACGGAAGACTTAACATGAAAATAACATGTAGCCTGACAGTGGATTACACTATAACAGTGAAAGTGTAAAACTGGTTCTTTATTCAGAGACATTGTAGACAACAAACTATTCTTTACTATTAGCTGAAAATTGAGCAACATAATTAGCAATTAAAAGGTTACAACATATTCTTCATCATAAAATGGGTAACATAAGTCATCATTATAATCTGGGCAACATATTTAATATTGTAAATATAGCAACATTTTCTATATTATATATATATAATTATTGACACAACAGCATATTCATCACTATCAACTAGGCGATATGTTAATTATTGTTATAATATATTCTTCATTATTAAGTTGACAACATATTATTAACTGGGCTACATAACCATTATCTATAAGACTGTGTCTTTTTGGATAACCAAATGATGAAAAGACAGCAAAAACTAATGAACTAAACTTTACTTTCTTCAAAACAATTTAAGTCGAAAGTCTTGGTAAAGAGAGCATGTAAATAAAATGCTAGTTTAATCATTTCTCCAAAAGACGTTATGCCATAGTTAATAAGAATTAATGATAATAGTATAAAATACCGACGCTCTGCTGTGGGTCTTCACAGCGGCTCCAATGTACCGATCAAGTGCCTCCATTATTCCCTGTTAATTCTATAACTATCCCGAGGAGGCTCCGTATCCTGAAAAGAAAACCCCCCTAGGAAAACAAAATTTCATGATATATTCGGATTCAGTGATCCTGAAAATCTACTTCTAGACCCATTAAGTCTGGCTCACCTTCTTGACAAAATTTAGCTCCCTAACGTCATTAGCTACGTCATTAATAAATATGATGACATAAACGTTTCCATGTGCACAATAACTTTATTTGTATAATGTTAAAAGAAACACGCTCTACATGTTTTTGTGGACAACACGATCCATCATCTTCAGAAAACAAAGAAAGACACATGAGGTTCGTTTATGTACTGGAATGAATGTAAGTTTAAATTTAGCAGATTGTACAGTGGCGCCATTTACAAAACAGAATCCCAAAAATCCATTTCCGTGGCATTTGGACCTAAATCTCTATTGAAAATCATAATTAAGTTCAAGGTTCATAGGAGTTATAAAGTGAACATATTCTCTTTTTTGTAGCAAAAATATAGGTTTCACGTGCCCACATATTTAAAATATTTGAATAACTTTCATTGCGTTGGAAGTAATTCTTTATTTTTATTCCTGCTTTACACGTCAGTTTGCCAAGGATAAAGTAACAAGAGGCATTATTTCGGAAACCCAAATGCAACGTTATCTGCAACATTTTTTTTTTCACCTAAGTTTATTTAGTTATTTAGGGACCTCTATTAACTTCTGTACTGACATATGATGACTCACATCCCTTAGATAGGCAAATTATTGATCAATAGGTGCTAAATAATGCAATAGCAAAAGTTTTCGAACCAAACGTTACTGTGACCAGCACTTGATAACAAATCGAACTTTACCGTTAATCTTTATCTGAAAGAGAATAGGAAATTTAAAAGAAAATCTCGCTCAAGTAGCCCAACATATATGTCTTACATACACGTTCATGAATAAATAACTGAAATTGTTGTGTTATCTGTAGAAACGATTTAGCTAAATAACACGCATAACACATGAGAATAAATATTATATCATGCTAAGTGAAATACAAAATGTGCTGAAAGAGAGCAATGGAGCAGCAGGATATAAAGGATTGGTAACGAATGAATAACATGAGGAATTGTTGAATAGATAACTAACAAATGAAAGATTGGTTAAGTTGCGAATAAATAACGAATAAATGAAATGATGGTTTGAAGAATGGATGACTAATGAATGAAAGAATAAATATTCTGTGAATGGATGCTGATGGATAATTAACTGAGTGAACAATGAAGAACAGTAGTTTTATGACGTAAATAAATAACGTGATGAATTCGTGAATTACGATATGTAAGTAAACTTTTACTATATAAAGAACTAATCGGTGAGAATACTGTTCAACAAAAAGCCAATAATATTTTTCAAATTTGATGACGAGGAACCCACTTTGAGACTAATAATGCTTGGAGACAGCTTTGTACCTGATGATGACAAAACCTTGTCGAAACGTTGTACATTTGCTGTTATGTTAAACTTATATTAAATTTTTTCTTCATTACCTATTCAAGCCATCTCCAAGCATTATCAATAACATGTTTGTTAATGAGTGAGCAAATTAATACATTTGACCTTTCACCTATACATGATTCGAACAAATCAAGAACGAGTGCAAAAATGGGATAGCTTGATAAATCTTTATAGTACCTGGTTTTTAAATTTTATATTCTGTACGTCAATAAAACAATCGATATTACATACACACACTAATAAGATTAGCGTGGTCTGAGTAACATTATTGTGAGAGACATGCGAGCTAAATAAGTTTGCTGTATCATGTTCTTCTCTCTCTTTTCGGTTCATGTAATTAAATGTGCGTGACTTGCAGAACCACATTTATTAAAGCTCTTACCTATTTTAGTGAGATTAATAAATTGTGAGACCAATTTGTTGTTTCAAATGAACTTCAGTTAGACAGTTTTTGTGAGATGTTTCACATAGATAGTGAATATTTTCTCTTCGCTATCATGTCTATAAAAGCCCTAATGTTCAGGTACACTCCTATACACATAGCTCTGGGTCTTGTTCTTCTTGAGCTTCAATGTTTTCATAAGATCAAATCAATAAAACTTTCAGACATTGTAAGGCAACAAGGAGTCCAATAATAACACATACTCCCTTCAGTAATCTCAACTGTGGGGAGTAAGTGTCATACATGCAATATTCTATGATGTGTTTCGGGTATAAGCACTGCGCATGCGTTGTTTACATTCCACCAGGAAAACCGAGAGCTCGCAAGCTTTATGGATTTAGTACTTTCCTGACATCACGTCATTGCGATCAAACTGAGTAAAGCCACGAGGGTTGTTATACTCATACTAATACTAAGTAGTTTTTTCTGAATTCTCCTTGACGGTGACGAGCAGAGATGAAGTCAGCATTCACAATTGGTGTGCTTCTCCTTTGTTTTAACGCTTTAGCAAGTAAGTTCTCATCAGAATTGTTCGTTTATGAGTAACGACTAAAGCTTTTGTGTTGGTAAATCTTAACTTATTTTAAGCTTAATGCATTCTTTCCAACCTTTGTTTATATAATCGCTAGCGTCAGAGTTATCTGGTTAATACAACAGACCAACGATGTGATCCCATACTTCTGAATGCCATCTTGCTTCATAAAAATGTCTAGCGTCGAATAATTTACCCTGCAGTAATTTACATCATACGTTTACTCTTTTAGAATATTGTGCACACGTAGAGTGAGTCAGCACTATTCCGTATCCCACGAGTTCAAATGTCATTTAAAACTTAACTTATATAATCTTGCAGAAAATATTTTGCTATAAGAATAATTTGTTTGATGGTAAAACCTAAATGATTTGACAAACGTACATATGATGGAACTTGAGGATGAGGAGTTGAAAAATAAAACAGTGAAATCGATTTTGAACTTTACAGGTAAATTCTGCTTTACATAATACAGTTCATATTTGGAATGAAAGTTGTATGATTTATTTATGAACTAATTTTTGTTTGCGCAGCTATAAAATATAAAATTGGATAACAGAAAAGGGTTCCAATACCTTTGTTTAATACTCTGAACATTTAAAGGCACTTTTTTTTTTCTTTTCGGAAGTAAAATATCAAAATAATATTGCCTTTCCAAAAAAAAACTCACAAACAAACAGATTCTATTCGAGCAAATACAGAAAATGTTTCACCTGAAAGGTTTGTTTGTAATTAAGCACAAAGCTACACAATGGGCTATCTGTGCTCTGCCAATACGGGTATCGAAACCAGGTTTCTAGCGTTGTAAGTCCGCAGACATACCGCTGTGCCATTGGGGGCCTCATATTTTTCAATTAATCTAAGAATAGATAGTGAAGGTCTTTATTGTTCCTCTTAGATCATTGCCCTTTTTTTCTTTGCTTTTTAATAAATGATCCTAAAAACTAGTATGCCTGAATCTTAGGGTCTCTTATCTCTTCGTTTAGCCCGCGTGTTTTAAGGTGCTATTCAGGTTGAACATTTCGAATTCAAACAACTTGCGATATATGCATGGGGTAAAATTTTGTCTATAACATGCTGTTTTTTTGTTTACTTTTTCTCTTTTCTTTTCTATATGACTGAAACGTAATGCCTTTTGTTAATTCTCGATTTTTGGTTTGGTTTTTATTCATTTTTTTGCTCATGATTAGTTTATGATAAATCGGCTCAGCGAAAGGATAGCTTCGTGTACTTAACTCAGATTATACCAAATAGAGGAAATGATGTAAAATATTATTATTGTTTTACTATCTAATAACCAGCACGCATATATTACACCTTGTTTACTTATATACATATATATACTGCTAAACGTTACATACAGATTTTGTTTGTTTTACAGGGGTGTTCTTAGAGTTCGTTATATATAATAAAATAATAACGTTTTCACCTATATTCTTTATCATCGCATAGCATTGTTAGAAAAAGTTTTCATAATCATGTTAACCACTGATGCATCAGCAGATGTAATAAATGTTTCTCAGTATGAGCTTATGTCGCTGGAAATAATACCTGCTTGTTTGATTTGGGCTGCTGTTATTTTATCTTTAACTGTTTTAGTAGGACTTAAGTATTATAAAAGCTACAAAATAAATTAGTTCATTTAAAATTTTTTTTTTAAGATTTGCAACAGTAGGCTTTTATTTGTTTCAAATGTAAACGATGCACGCCGTACAGAACACAGTATATTGTATTAATAAACGTTGGTTTGTAAATGTAAACGATGCATGATGTACAGAGCACAGTATATTGTATTAATAAACGTTGGTTTGTGAAACAAAACAAAAAACGATTGATGAATATGAAGATTGTTTTAGGTGATAGATCCGACATTAACGACTTTCTTGAAACACAATAGTTTAAAGTAAAGTATATTTTCTCTATTTTTATTAACTAGAAAGTTGCCTGGTAGTTTACAGCATCTGAACCATTTTTAACTTGTCAGTGTCGCCATTTCTACGTTGTTCGTATTCTGTATTTTATACTTATTCCTACTATATCAACGAACGCAGTTATTTCATATTAGTAGCTTCACTCAGCTCTTTGGATCACGTATTAATTGAAAAGCAGAAGTAACGATTATGATTAAGGATTGAAATAAAGAGTTCCCGAACACTATATAAGATTATTATAACTAATATTATTCTAATTCTTATTCGTTCTGAGTTTTCAATGAATCACAAATATATACACCAAGACAGATTCATTATTCGCAATAAGTCATTAAAGACGTCCATCGGTGACATAGCATTAAACTTGATGACTTATACGCTACAATTCCGGGTTTGATCTCTTGAGTGATTACAAGAATTATATACGTTGTAAAGCTTTGCGCTTAAAAACAAAATAAACGAAGCCATTAAAAGCTTTTTAGAAGCCGGACTTTAAATACTGTAGGAAATATGTCTACTACATAAATACTACATTCATTTAACTTTACTTATGTAAATAACAAAGAAACTGAACTTCCTTCTTGTGGTTTAAAGTTAGTTTACGAATCTGCTGCTGTCTTCAAGTATTTGAAGTACCCCAATGTGCAGGAAAAAACAACAATCATTGCAAACGTTTCATTCCGATCGTTTTCTGTACCTCTAGTGGTACGTTAGCTAGAAAGGTAAGAAATGCGTGGCACAGGCACTTACTTCTATACATTAACAATGATAAACAACGCATTTTGCGTTCATATGTACATTCATTTATGAAATGTAGTTCCAGCGTGTGTATTGATAAATGTGTAATCTTTGTTGAAACGAATTCCTCAGCTTAAAATGGAATTTTAACACAATGAATAATGAAGTCCGTATGAAATTTCAGTTCTATGAAAATGTAAAACTTTTTCTTACAATTTAACTACTTTTATTTTATATTGCACACCGAAGTCAGTTGATAAAATAATTTAATTCAGCAACTTTCACGAATAAGCATAAAGTTATTAAACATTTACAATAATGTATTTATTTTCTTACTATTCAACTCTCTCCTCCAAACTATATCCATCAGTTAATAAGTATCCTTTTCTCTCTTTGTATCTTTGGTCCTTTTGGTAGATGCGTACAGAATTTCTGTAGAAAACTGTCAAAGGTTTTATTTTTTAAACAGTAAAATCTTACATTAAAGTTAATTGGAATGCACTTGAAATTGAAGGTGATTAATCGCAATCTATTTCATTTCAAATCTATATATTAATAATGTTTTATACTCGTACATTTAGTAATGTATCGTCCAGAAGTTTTATATAAACAAACTGTTATTTAACCTGAAATTCTTAAAACAAAGTCGTGTCTGTAGTATTCATTTTAAAACAAAGTCGTGTCTGTGGTATTCATTTTAAAACAAAGTCGTGTCTGTAGTATTCATTTTAAAACAAAGTCGTGTCTGTAGTATTCATCTTAAAACAAAGTCGTGTCTGTAGTATTCATTTTAAAACAAAGTCGTGTCTGTAGTATTCATTTTAAAGCAAAGTCGTGTCTGTAGTATTCATTTGAAAACAAAGTCGTGTCTGTAGTATTCATTTTCGTGCATTTATTTGTTCTTAATAACTTATAAATTAATACACACTCACGATTTCAGTTAAGTATAAAAAACGGTAGAAAGAACCACTACCGTTGTCTGAGTAGAAAAATCTACTGTGGTAATCATCTACTGGTTCATGTTGAAATGTAGTTGCGAAAATCCATCTAGAGACAGCAAACTGCAGTAACGATTAACAATAGCAACTCGAGTATCGATATGCAACAACAAAATCGGGAAGATTTCACGTGCCTGTTTCCAATTAATGAACTAGAAAATGCATGATTTGTGGTTTCCAACTAACGTGCACGCTAGGAAAACACCGGATTTTTTGATGGTAGAAAGTGAAAAACTTAGAACATTGTGCAGCACGACAAAATTAAGAGGGTCGAATTAAATTCAAAACTACTCTCTCAGTTTTTGGCAGAATTCCTGTTCAATCCCACACTACAGTAGATATCACTTGTAATAATTTTATAGTGCAGTCATAATAGGGATTTGTAGCTTGAGCATACTGCCAGCAGTAGATCTCCAGCCTTGTATGCTGGCTTTTTTAATGCACAGCAATGGGTGTATATGCCTAGAGTAAGACACAACTCCCGCTGATCGCGTATAAACTTTTACCAGTAGAAAAGCAACCTTTTTATATAAAACAAATAAAAATAAAACATAGCTTTAAATAAAGCTTCGTGTCTTTTAAAGTAATTATTTACTGAGCTAGGTATCTTTGTGCCTGAGGTTATAATGTAAACACGCGTTTAAAACACGTCGAGTACAAAAGCATCCGCTCAAAACAACATCACATCTCATGGCCAGGTGGTTAGGGCGCTGGACTCGCAATCTGAGGTTCGAATCCCCGTCACACCAAACATGCTCGCCCTTTGATTAAGGTGTTTATCAGTGAAAATTGGGGGCATATTATCTGCTGATGGCACCCCCATAATATATATATATATATATTTGTAATCACGTAAATCAACTTTCAATGAAAAACAATCAACTATTATATAGGTCATGAACATTCGCTGTCCTTCATGTAGTATATCTGACTAGGTTTTAGTGCAAAATACCCAGCAGATTTTGCTCTAGGCTTGTAAAACAATAACAATAATAAATGGACAAATTTTGATTTTGTCTACTATTGTGAAATTACATATTTTGCTTATTATTATTTAGAGTAGGGGTTCCCAAACTTTTTAGAATCGCGACCCATTATTCATGAACACAGCTTATGGCGACCCACTCAAATTTACTGGGCAAAAACATATGAAATAGTATAAAAAATATTATTTATTCATATTCACTTATTTCAGTTACATTTAAAAATACTTACGTATTTTCAATAACATTTCCAGAACTTATAAATGCTATCTAATTGATTAATAATGAGGCGTGTGTGAAGGATGTGCTTGTTTCTTGTTACTGTCCAG